ATGCTCCAGCCCTGGGTGCTGCCCCGCCCCTTCCCTGCCTAGCCCAGGTAATTACCCCTTCTCTTCCCGGCCCAGGTAACCGCCCCTTCCCCCCACAGGGAGCTGGTTCCTCTCCTGGACCGGCTCCCTCCTGGCACCCTGCACTGCTGCCTGTGATACAGAGGCAGCAGCGCAGGGGGACCAAGTGACTCCCTAGTAGTGGGGCTGGAGTGCACTGGCTGCTGGCCCGCCCCAGGGAGCTATAGCATAGTCACGTAACTGATGGGAATTAATGTGGTTACTGGACTGTTCAATTAACCAATAGCTAACACCCCTACTGTCTGTCACTTGGCACTTGGGTCTGCCATCCATCCCCTCCTTCTTTTATTATAACAATTCCATTCATACTGTTTTATTTAACAGCTTGACTGCAATTCCATTATTAAAGCTTTTTACAGGTGGTTAGAATTTGGCTTTAAAAGTTTGCTTTGGGCTGGAAGCTAGAAAACAAGCTCCAGCAGCCCAAAAGTTTGGGGTCCTTTTAGTTTTATCATTCATGAGTGAGAATAAACCTGGCAGGAACTGAGGCACTAGCAGCAGAAAGAACATAAAGTTTAATTTGACTCATCCCTAAGTCTCCCCATTAGCCGGACAAGAAGTAGCAACAACGGTAGCTTGAGCTCGAGCTGACCATGTTGGGCACTAGTATCTGTTCTGGTCCAGCCACTCCACCGCAATCATATCCCACCAACCTCCTTATATTCCAGGGAATAGGACTGGCCTATCATCTCCCAGTGGCCCTTAGGAGTGGGCCTGGACTGCTAGCTCCCCAACAGCGGGCAGAAGTGGGGCTGCTGTCACAAATGTTTGCTTCTGTGCATCTTCACTACTCTTGTACACTTTCCCTGGTTGAGATGATTAATACTTGTTTCAGTTGAAGCCCTACTTGGTCCAAGTTTTTTTGTTTATTACGTAACAAAATAAATAAAAGCACAGGCACAATGGGATTCCAAATAATTATATTTTCTAAATATACACAACAAGGAAGCTGTATATGCAAACCATTAAGCTGGCTTCTAAAACATAAACAAGAATGGTAGCCACTAGAGGGCTCGCAAACCATTTTAACCAATTTCTGTTCACTACATCTAGCACTTCCCCTCACTAATGGCAACACTGCAGGTCAGAGTTGTTGAAGTGTGTTACTGGGACCTCAGTCAGACTAAAGAGTGCATGGGCTGAATCTTTTGGTTTCATGAAAATTCTGTTGCCCAAGCCAGGGCTGGATAGAAATAGATGTAGATTCCATCCAGGTGCACTAAAACAGTATGGTCCTGTCTGATTTCCAACTGACCTTCTAACTTTAAATTCCTTTCACTGGCAATTAAAACAGTTGCAGAAGTCCTGTGTGAATTTTGTGAAATGCTGATCACTTTTGTTGTGAACCCTTAACTTGCAGTGATGCTTTACCCATTTTACGTTTACATTTATTTTAGGAGTTACTTCTAATTGGACTAAGATTCCATCACCTCTTTTCAAAAAAGTTGTCATTGTGCTGATAGATGCTTTGAGAGATGACTTTGTGTTTGGGTCAAAAGGTAAACAGTTCATGCCCTACACTACACAACTCGTGGAAAAAGGAACATGCCACAGTTTCATAGCTGAAGCAAAGCCACCCACAGTCACCATGCCTCGAATTAAGGTAAACCGTCTCATTTTGTTTATCTTAATGTGTTGTAATTTCTTAGCTGATTCTGGCTGCTCCCAAGCAAGGCCCTGCCCAGCAAGGGATCCAAGTGAGTATGACATCTTTTCTCCTTGCCATAGTGTTACAGGAGTTGAGAAAGGAAAGGAGTTTATCTTTCCATCTCTTACAGCAATATGTGAACTACTGTAGTAGTAGTCTGTAATGGAGAAAGAGGAGGGTTGGTGCTCTGGACAAATTCTCCTTTTTATTTTCAAGATTCTCCAATATTCCTACATGCTCAGTCTCACTCCTTTAATTAATAAGTTTAACAGCACTCTTGCCACAGTATCAGTATAAGAACTATATTTTAATATAATGTTGACAGAGAAACATGACCACCAGTAGATCCTGGTTTAGCTTGCAAGTTGTAGTGGTCAAGCCACAAAAGGAAGGCAGAGGGCAGTTATGGAGCTGAAGAGACTTGATAGGGAAATAACAAGGGTTATCACTTCTTAAACTAGTCAGTCTTTGCATATGAGCTTCACAATTGACAATGTGAGGGAGAATGTAAGAACTGCTAAGGTGATATTACAGGTAGCTTTGCTTAGGCAATTTTAACTGTCATTTATGTAGTTTTAACTGTCATTATGATGAGTCAATAAGCTTTGGAGTTGTTTGCCAATGGCTTCCATTTTAAAAGCCAGCTCTAGTCCTGCCTTGTAACTTTGGGTGGGAAAACCTAAAATCTAGATTTACTCTAGGATATTGTTGCAAAGAAAATTGGCCCTATTGAGTTTCAGGGCACTGAAATCAAACTGTGCATATTTGTCCAATATTTAACTTTTAGTGCATCCCAGTCATAAATCTGCCTGCTTTATAAGGTAAGGAGCCACTTCTCATTTTACCCAGGGAGGGAGGAAAGGGGAAAAACTGAGGCACAGAGGTGAAATGACTTATTCTAGGTCAGCTCGCAGGTTAATGGCCGAGCAAGGAAGAGAGCTTAGGTCTCCACAGTCTTGCTGTAGTTGTTGTCATGGACTGGTTTCCTTAGTATAAAATTGCTTTTCATTAATGTATCACACTTGTCATATGTTAAATATCTTGGAAAATGTGCAATAGTGGCTGTTACAGAAAACAGCTCGTAATTAAGTAAAGTTGAAATTTATTGTAGAGTGTTGAGGGCCAGTCTGCTCCCATTAATTTTAATGAGGACTCTTCTATCATGGATTTCAGTGGGAGCATATTAGAGCACTGCTTGAGTATATTGCTGCCATCCTCTTTCGAAGCTATCGGTCTCTGAAACCGATAACAAACAGAGCTCTTTTCCTGTAGCTTTATTAGGAGCCTGTAGAGTTGGTGCTGTAGAACCAGAGTTTCAGTAGGACAGGTTGGTGATGTACTGTGAAGAGTGCAGCCTTGTTGACATCAATTCATTCAGAGGCTGATGTAGGTATTGTTATGCTCTAGTGATGGCATGTGACGCTCTAGTGATACAGCGTATTGCTGATGGTATGTGCTTAGCAGCAGGGTCTCTGATACCTCGCCATTTCTTGAAGTCGTTATTCATAGATTTTAAAGCTGGGGAGAGACAGGCTAGATCTCTCTTGCTCCTCTGGTGTCTACTTTTGGTGATAGGAGTGGTAGCTCATTGCCACTACTTGGTTCCTGTTGAAAGAATAATTGAAATCATTATAATACATTGAATAAATCAGGGCTACTCAACTTTGGAAGCCCTGGGGACCACAGTGATACTCACAGCACATGCAAAATACAGTAAACTTCTGATAATCCGGCACCTTTAGGACCCAGGGGGCGCTGGATTATCAGATATGCCGGACTATCGGAAGGGGGGGCTATGAGGGGTCTGGGGTAGGGTGGGGGGATGCCACCCCAGACTCCTCATAGCCCCCCCTTCCAATAGTCCGGCTGGGGGCCCAGCGGCCCCCACTCCACCCCCCGCCGGCG